GCAGTTCTCGAGCCCCTGCAAAGCGCGTGTCCGTCGCTGTCTCCGGCTGTTGTCTTTTAGGTGACGGCGAGCTGCAGCCGCCAGTGGAAAGTTCTGCGAGTCGGAACAGCAAGCCAATGAAAACAGCCAGTTTCAGGTCTCAGTGTGACTCGCAGCTTAACACTGGAGGACAATCAGGGGGGCATAACCCACCTGTTACCAGGGTTAGCTCCCCCCTGTCACACACTCACACAGGCGCAGGACTAAGGAATGTAGTCTTACCCACCCATTCACAGGAGGAGCAGCTTCACTGATAGACCCATAGAAACACTGCTGCCATCTTCTTCATACCATACAAAACAAGTTTGTACAGTTGTTGCTTTAAGGCGTTTCTGTTGGTTCAGTTCCGAGAAAAGTGTGACATTAATGGTCAGTATCTCAAACATTTCCAAATTTCAGTCTCAATCTTGTCGTTGGAGATTCCACAAATGTCTTGCACTTATTGGTCGCCGTGCTTTCAGTTGTGTACAGCTCCAGATCCAGTTTCAGTCTGGATACTGTGCCAGTCCGCCAGGCTTTGAGACCTCTCCTGTTCTTTTCTCAAGGCCTTTGTGTGATGTTGTAGTATGACCACGCAGTCTGTCGGCCTTTGTTAGGTACCTTTCAGGCAGTTGAGTTTTGTCATAATAATGCATCAGTAACATTTGTTCCACACTGCTGTCAGACACACAGAGGGTTTGCAAGTTATTGTGAAAAGTTGGGACACCTGCAGGAATAATGCTCAGAAAGTTTTGAGCACTTAATTCACATAAAGTTCTGCACGTTCTTTTTAATGAATGAAAATTTCCTACTTTTTCTGAAATGTATTAATTTATTAGACCAACTTAATTACAGGGTAAAAAAGCTGATGCTTTTTTTTTTTTTAAATTTCTGCTTTATATATTAATTAATAGTACAGCTGGTGAAATAACCGTCATTGTTAGAACATGGGACTACACTGTTATGTGCTTAATTAGGGAGGTTGATCGGGGGTCTCTGTTGCTCCGCTTCACAGATTCACATGGACAATTTAACCACTAACCTCCTGAAATGAGCTGCTCCTGAATGCCTCGGGCTCCAGTTTCAGTGTCTGCTGATTGCAGAGAGCAAGGGTTATGATAAGTAAAAGTAGGGGAGGGGAGTGAGT